GCTTTGACACAATCTGTATTGTTAAAAGCGCTATATAAATAAAGGTGACTTGACTTGACTTGACTTGACAAATTGTACAAAACCTTCATATTTAAAGGGTTAGTTCACCCAAAAATGAAAATTCTGTCATTAATTTCTCACCCTCGTGTTGTTCCAAACCCGTAAGACCTTCGTTCATCTTCGGAACACAATTTAAGGTATTTTTTATGAAATATGAGGGCGTAATGACGTCATCACACAGGATCTGGGTCAGCGCTGGCGCCGCCACACGCTCGCGTCATGATACTGTCGTGAACGCGCGTCCACAAGTGATGCAGTAGAGACGAAAATGTGGAATAAAGTTGTTATTTTTGTTTTCTTTGCGCAAAAAAAGTATTCTCGTAGCTTCGTAACTTTGAACTACTTTGTAACATGAACTACTTTGTCGATCATCTTGGTACTTTTCTGGACCTTGAACGTGGTAGTTACCTTGCTGTCTATCGGAAGGTCAGAGAGCCCTCAGATTTCATCAAAAATATCTTAAATTGTGTTCCGAAGATGAACGAAGGTCTTACGGAGTTGGAACAACACTAGGGTCAGTAATTAATGACAGAATTTTCATTTTTGGGTGAACTAACCCTTTAATGATACTTGAATTATTTGTAGATAAAATTTTAATAGATTACAGCTTCATGAAAACATTTGAAATTGGTTTGTAAAAGATGTCATAGATGTTTTCGTTGCATTCAGATTGTTTTGACCAGCAGGTACTGCCAGCCTGTGGAGTTTCGAGTGATTAAAAAAAAGGGAATCATTTTATGAAGCAGTTGGTTCAGTTGATTCAGACCTTCGTTTCTCCCAGCAGTAACGTTAAAAGTAAATTTGTTAAAATTTGACTTTAAACCTGGTTTTCGGAGTAGCTTCCATAAAATGACTATGGCTATATCATTGAAATAAGTGAGAAATCTGAGAACAGGACAAAAAAATAATAATTCTGATAAGCAGGCCACACGTTAGCCAATCAAAAACAGTTTGGGGGCAGGGCTGTCTGTTTTTATAAACAATAGCAGATGGGGGATCATTTGAGAGTGTTATTTATTTTTCAGTTCTGTTTGGTGCCACTTGTGATACAGAAAACCGCTTCCAGCAACTTCCCAGCATCTCAAGACTGGGAAGTTTCGAGAGTTCATTTGTTTTCTATACAATTATTGGTTTATCGCCACGGTAACGGACTGGCAGAATGTTTGAATCAATTGCTTCAGTTTGAAGGAAGAGTTACAAAACAAATAAGGACATGAATATAAAATGTTTTCACTCTTAAGGTATTGTAACATAAAAAAACACATTGCTTTGATTAAATGTGGTTAAAACTTTGCTGTCATTTTTAAATCGGTGACAAAGCTAAGCAGCAAAGTAATCACACTTCTAATGCTGGTATAAGAAGCCTCTGTATTGATCAGAAGTGTACACTGTTATTAGAACACGACTTCACACTGCAAATAATGAGCGAGTGGAGTGAAAGACGCAGATTACAGAACCAGGAGCTATTTAAAATGGAATTTGAAGCATCATCTCTCTCTCGCTCTTCTCTCTGGATCATTCTTTCTGTCATATTGACTCGTTTTAATCAATAACATGAAGCTTATCAAAAAGCTGCATGGTATCCCATAATGCTCGTTGTCTCCGAGCAGACCGCAGGAGTAGCAGTGCAGGTCTGTGTGTTTCAGCAGTCGCTTTGGAAAGGAAATGAACGCCATGCTGTTGATGTCAGTCGTTTGACAAACACACGTGGGCTGTAGGCAGTCCTCATGCCATTTACACACACAGCTGTAAGCTGCCACTCAAAACCAGTAAGAACATCAAATGCTGTTTTCACTGGCAATTCCTCACCATCATCTACCAATCTGTCGAAGGCACACCCATATTATATATTTTATTAGTTGATGTTTAATGGCTGGTACAATACGTACAAAGGAGGTTAGCATATACATATATGTATGTGTGTATATATATACAGTGGGTACGGAAAGTATTCAGACCCCCTTAAATTTTTCACTCTTTGTTATATTGCAGCCATTTGCTAAA